CTACGTTGCGTCATCGGCTGTAACAGATGGGCAGGACTTGTTTATTGACACACCGGCGTAGAAGATGGACTTTATTCTTTCGGTCAAATGTTTGTTTTGATCTAATCAACCTGACATTCAGCGTTCAGATTCCTATTAAACGGGTTGGATACCTCCCCATTCATTGCTATTCTTTGCTCTTCAATCTCTTCACTTTTTTTTCTACCCTTCTTTCCTTCATTCTCTTTGTAATACGCTAGCAATCAATGCAAATGATAGGGCGTCTGACGGGGGCATGGCTGGGAGCGCAGCCAGGTCACATTTTCCACCAGTTGTAGTGGGTGCGGGACGGCATCATTGGTGGAAAAAGTGCGCGTTGGCTGAGCTCCAATACGCGCTGCGTCACACACGTGCCCTTTTGCTTGCTGGGATCATGACCGTATCTACCAGTTCACTTGCATGGCCCTTAGAGTCCACAATAACATTACTGCGCTCTTCTATAGTAGTTCTGTTTCTATACTTAGTTCACCACCTTGAGCACTCTTGCCGCTTTTGATTACAAGTAATTCTGACTCCGCCCCCATGCATCACAACCAACCGACGGCAGCACCTTGCCCTTGTCGTCTTCCACTGATGGGGCATCATCTCCTCCTAACTCAACATAGCCTTGTAGAAAACCGCATTCGTCAGTGTAGAAACCCTTTTGAAGATGCTGGTTAGCTGTCTACTGTTTTTTGGCTGCGAGTCACACTCCTGGTGTTATTGATTGATTACAGTTGTAATTTTTTACAATTATTTTCAGGGATAGAGGTGTTGGCGACGATGGCCAGTGATGTGCAGAAACCAACACTTCAACGAAAAAACACCTTCCCACGCTTGGCCAGCGCTTACAGTCACGATTTCCGGAAAGAGTATAAAAATTCCGAGTAAGTTGTTGTGTACAAAGTGTCGTGAACGAGCTCTCTTTTGCTCCTGAGTGTCTGCTTTCATCGAAATTTGTCCCTGAATGCTTATTCGCTTTGAGTCGATTGATAAGACGAGTCGCAACGCGTACGCACGCGTCTGGTACTGTCAACTTCAGAATAAGTCTCTTTTGTGGCGGTGCAAAGAATACCTGCGCAGAAGGCAGAACAATTGCCTCTTTTGCCTAGTCTTTGACCTTTTTCTCTTTGCAGGATAACTGCCTATTTTTTGGCTATCTTTGACCTTTTTCTGTTTTCGATTTTCGCATAGCTCCTGATGAATGCGGCTTGCGGGGTGATGCTCCTCATTTTGCTTTTTTTTGTTCATTTATCTACTATGGAGGTGATGCTCTGATTATGAGCACCGCTCAAATACAACATCGTGGTAACCCTGCTCACCCTCTGGCTTTACACTGGTTCTATCAAAGCGTGATTGAAAGCTGCTGCTTGAGTTGAGTGTTACCTGCACGATCATTGTGATTATTATAGACTGGAACGAAGGTTTCGTCGCAAAAAATTCGAACGCATCGACTCGTCGCGGTTTCAGAGTGCATGGCGAACGCTGTCCGACTACTTCTTTAGCCGGAGCAATCGACGAGCCCCAACTCAGAAAGATAGCGAGTCGGCTGCCAGCCCCTCCTACTTTGAGGTGGGTCAGTCAGTGTCATTACTACTGCTGAGCGTGAAAAGCTTTCGGGTACGTTCGCGGTCCAAAATGTGACACAGGTGGGATTATATGTTCCTGAAGTGGGTGATTAACAGAACAAATAGAGGTGATTAACAGATCAAATAGTCTTGGTTTGGCGCGCTCTACATCTCAACCCTAATCTCTGTCCCCTTTTCTTGATATTTCTTTTCTTTGGCAATGTTACGAGGCATAACGATTCATCTTCGAAAGAAGTGACAGTGTTCAGTAGGCATGGGGAACCAGTTGTGCACGTGCATAAGAATGCAGTGAACCCTCGAAGTGTGTTCCGATGGCCTGAAAAATGACTGTCTAATTCAGAAAATGCTGTGTAATTTTCATACGATTTTTGAGCGTAGGAGAATTCGGTTTGCTGGGGTGATCGGATCCGATAAGATGCAAGGAGGCGACCTTTCTTGTTGTTGACGCTGGTCATTTTTCACGTTTGCTTTGGCAGTCGTGTGGATTAGAAAGGCTGACTGGCTGGCAAGGCTGGGCCGAATTTCCCAGATGTGACGATATAGCCCTGTGTTGTCTATTCATGCTCATCAGTCCTCCCCTTTGACGTGGGAGATTAATTGAAAGAGTGGCCAGCTGTGAACGTATACAATTGATCGATTGCCATGTGTTTCGAGAGGAGTGGACGAATTCTGCTGGTTCTTCCAGCCTAGAAAAACTCTAATTATTAGGTCATCCCATTCAAAAGTGCCGTGACATATAGAGGAATGGCAGAAAAGCAAAGGGGATAGGGAAGCGGGCTACTATACCATTTGGAGGCTAGTACCTTTAGCTGTGTATCTGTCTGTCTGTGAAATTTGGCGAACCTACCCACAGAGGAAGTTTCAGCGCCGGATTTCCAAATCAGACGTCATAAGAGGGAAGTGCGCTGCTCAAATTCGACCGGCGCCGGACCAGTAGTTGTGTGTAATGGTGTTCTCGAAATACAAGGTGGAAGGTTTGGTTCAGGAGCCCGAAGAAGGAAGAAAGGAAAAATTTGTTGTCGTGGATGGTCCCATAATGTTCATCCTGCACAAGAAAAAAGGGTGGATGAAGTCAAGCGCTGAATGTCTGATCACAGAGCCTGGACCTTTGTCGAGCTTCCCCGCGAGTCTGACATCCCAGCTGCAACTGCTGCCCGAGTTATGTCCGATAAACTGAGGATGGTCAAGAGGGTGTGCGCATGGGTACCTAATTTTCTTGTAGAAGCACGAACGCAGTACCGATTCTATGCCTCTAGCAGTTGAGATGTCATTCACGACTGTGAAAACGCACCCCGGCCTTAGATGAAATATGGGTGGTCTTGGACCTCGAGCCAAAACTCACAATCGTCAATTTTGTATGAATGCAGATGAGAAGCCGCCCGAGTTCTACCATGAAGAGTTACGTGGGCGCAAGTGGATGATCATCATAGCAAAGGATTCCCACACTGTGGCTTTTAAGCGGCTCTATACAGAGAACAAAATCGTCGCTGTCGGTGTATATTGCTGTTCCTCGATAATCAGATCGACAAATGGATGATACCACACAGCTACAAGAAGGCCACAGTTGCTCGTCGTAGTGCCAGACCCCGAGTAACTGTATTGTAGGGCAGTGCTGGGACAAAAACAATACTGAGACCTGGGTTCAATCACCCCATTCGCCCGACATAAAGCCGAGCGATTCCAATTGTTCTCGTCAGTCGAGAGTACTCTCCGACGGCAAACGCTACAATGTTTTGTCATTCGCCGAAATTGGCATCAACAGCAATTTACTCGCACTTGTTGAAAAATCGAAGGTACCAGAGGTCCAAAGGTATTTGGGGCACTGGGAGCAGATAATTGGTGAAGGAGGGATTTACTTAACTTGAAGCCAAATATTACTTTTTTATCTATTCTCCTCTTTGTTTTATTCGAAAAAACCGACGGCACTTTTGAATGGGATGACCTAATAAGTTATTATATGTGCCTTACGACGTTGATAGGTGGAACCTTTATTCAAGTGGCCAACGTTTCGAATGAATCGTCGTCTTCGGGGCCTGAATATGATTCAAGGTTTAGACTTACGCTCTACTCCACCTCATCTTCTCTAGCGGTTCCGACATCCTGACAGGAACCTCGAAGAGATTCCTGTTAGCATGTCGGAACTGGAAAATACTCTAGTTAATGTCTAATTGTTGTCAGTTGCCGAACGAGGCTTCCAGATGGAGTTGTCTGACGTTTCCCCCATTTAACCTTCTTCATAGGCAAAGATTCCGCCTGTTGTTAGCATTCTAGTGCTCTTACGATCGGTGGAATCTCTGGCTTCGGGGGAACATAAAACGTCCGAAATGTGAGACTGGATAAAGGTTCTACCTAAAAACCTCGTTCGGCAGAAGAAGAAAACCCCGGGGATTGGTGGGCGTGGCTGCGTACCTTACGAACATGGAGTAAAACGCGTTTTCCGTGGAAGGTTTCCGTCTAAAACAGCTAACCCTGCCTTGTGCTGCACAAAAACGATTAAAATTGCCACAAAACGGCAATCAAGTGAAGTACCCGGCCACTCCGTCCCCACCTCGGGACATGCAGTGCCCTAGATGACGTCATATTGACAGATCGTACAGTATCAATTTACTATAGCGGCATTACTGGACGTATTGGCGACTTTAATGTTGTTCCACGGTTGCTAACGAGTGACACCTTACGAAGCTGTAAAATGCAGGTTACTCAAAACTGCGAAAAAGAGAACAACCCATTGGACAGACATGCGGCCAGAAATGGAGAAAATGGGCGAGAATCTCGGCCTCTCAACCTGTGTTGCACTGCAAAACCTTATTTCTGAGCGGAATTTTCTGCAGAAAAAAAAGCGGGAGCTAGACCATATGAAGGGCCTTTCAATGATTGTTTGTTTCGCTCCAGTATTTATAAGTTCAAGCCCCCGAACCTTCCAGTTCCCAATTCAAAGAACATCCTCTGGTACTGTTCGAACGATCAACATGATATCATCTGGTACGTACTAACACCATAGCTGACACATTAACCCTTTTTTAAACGCCACGCGTCAACAAGTTTGCATTAAAAACGAGTACTTGATATCTTTAAAAGTTCTTTATGATTGACAGGCGAACAACAATGGAGAGGAACTGGTTACCGGCTGGTTACTGGCTATTAACGATTGTTGTCAACCAGTCATAGTTATCTTATATGAGTCCGTTAGAGAGACGCTACCTAAAACTGAAGCTGTGTGAGATGATAAAGATTAGATGGAAAGGTTTTCTTAAGGATTTTTAGGTGACCGGTCCATCTCGATAAAGAGATTCATAGAGGTTTATTTGGTTACAGGTCGATTTCTAAGGTAAATCGGTCTATCAATTGCCCTTTTAGCCTAAATTGTCCCTATCACTCACCCTTGTTGCCTAAATGGTCACAACGGGTGCCCAGGACTTGCCTGTGTGTGCACTTTATAGCAGTAGCTGATTCACATGCACCGCACATGAATAATGGATGTTTTTCATTTTGTACCAGACGACAGCTGTTCTTCATGATCGCACCCACGAATCACATGATTGTGGCGCATGATCGTCTAGGGTTTCCTTCCACATCTGACGGGAGCAACAAGCGACGAGGGTTTTGCTTTTTGAAAGTTAGCAGCTGTTCAAAGGAGTGCTATTTTCGCTCTGCAACAAACCTTGCAGAGCATAATTAGTGCGAAGTGGTGGGTTTCAGCGCAGCGCTCACAATGCTGGTTTGAAAGCCGGGGTTCTGATTGTAAGAACCTTGGTTATCTTTCGTTGTACAAGAAAACCTTCAAAAGTCGCCATGACGCGCACTGACGTGCGACGACGCGCTGCTCAGTGGCTGCTGTGACTTCGACATTTCAGCTTTTCACGGATTATAAGGGGTTCAGCCACCCCGTGGTCCCCTCCCCCCCCCCTGAAAAAACCCGTTTCCTGGCTCGCTACATGTTTCTTGCCCGTTTCGATGCTTTGGCAGCCGCTGTCCTCTATCTGTCTGTGTTACATGGTTTCGCAACAGGACCACGCCCAAGAGTTCAAGATGTCACGTAACCCAGTGGCCACTACCGATCGATACCGGACTGGGCAACGCGTACCCTCAGTTTCACTCATACTCTTTCAATATAAAAGTGACTGATTCCCGGCTGTGGCTCTGTTCGCGTCTATATTATTGGAGCGCTTTTGCAAATGCAGCTCGTCACGGCGCGTCGCCGCGCACCATCACGAAGTTTGAACGCTGCCGCAGTAAGCGGGGGAGCCATAAAGGGTGATAGGAATAATCAGGAAATTTTTTGTAATGCTAAACGTGTGAGTGCTGTAAGGCTACGGCATAAGCCGTTAAGCTGAGAGGGTAAAAGCGGCCCTGGTGGCGTAACGGATAGCGCACTCGCCCGGAAAGCGTGAGGTGCGGGTTCGACTCCCGCCTGGGGCACGACTTTTGCCCATAACTCAGCATTCTTGTGATACTCAGAAAACTCATAGCTTCGCCGTGTAACGCTGCAGTTCCGACTTGTGGCAGGTGTTTTCATTCCCATACTTACTCAAAATCGCTGTTTCAGCAGTTGCCATCTGAGCTTCTCTTCAAAATCCTCGGTGAGATCCACAATAAACCGACAGTATTGAATTGTCGGGCGGTTTGCGAACGATGGCATCATGTTATGGACAAGTTGGTCGTGAATAATGACGAGTTCAAACCAATTGAGGTCAGTTCAAATCCGCTGGATTTCTTTAGGGCTCAGAAATGTACGTCTACCTCTTTAGCTGTCTCGACTAGTCGTGTCAGGGCTACCCCGTCGAGCACTCGAAATCCGACGAATCAACTATGAATCGCAACAGTCGTCGGCCGTGGTTGTGACGCATGCGATGATACGACGAGGTGTGCAGCTTGACTTTAGCTTCAGGCAGTTTAAAATACAACGATTGGTGCTCAAGGTAAATCAATCACTATCGATTAGTACCCAAGACTTCTTCATATTTGTGTGTTGTTTCCAGAACCTGACCCTGACGGACGAACTTGTGAAGTTTCTCCGTATGCAACTTCTGAACAGCGACTTGTCGTCACTGAACCAGCTCTCACTTCATGCAGTCGACTTCTCTGCCTCGAACTCGTTGACACTGCACCGACTGCTCGCCTTTGTCGCCAAACACCTCGAAACCTTTGAGGTATGACCATTTAGGTTGCCGCTCTAGCACACGTTCCGATTTAGGAAATAGAATCGTGGTCAGGCTGCGTTCATACTTAGCGTCATCGGCAAACGGCAGCGTTTCGCGCGATAGGAAAGTATAAGTGTCGATTTAGCGCCAGAGTTCTCGCGGGCAGTTTAAGCCCGAGCAAAACTGCTAGCGAAAACGCTGCTGTACGCTGGCATACGCTTGTAAACGCTCAGAATATCCATACTTTTCTGGTCGCTCGAAACGATGCTGTATGATCGCAAAGTATAAACTTAGCCTCACATTGGTCGTCAAGTAATCAGAGTTGTTTCAGTTGACTCAGTCCACCGGGATGCGTGCTGACAGCGTCACTGACGCTCATCTGGCCCAACTGGACGCGACGAAAATTCGCCGCATCACGATCGACGGAGTACGATTTGCGATGCCTCGACGTCGCGCGCTGTTGCGAGTGGGCGACGAGACCCTACGACAGTTAGCTGCGCAGAAGAGCTACCCAACTTTGGTTTTGGATCGTTGCAGTGTAACGACGAAGACCATTTGTGATTACACGGAGGTGAGTTAACATTTCCATCCGATTCAACCAGTAGGAGGTGCAGTTGTTGCAGGGTTGGTTCGCCACGGCACACGAGTCAGATAAGTGCTTGCAGTCGCAAATTTGCACTGTGAAGCGCTGTGCAGCCGTCCGTGGGCCACAGTTCGAAGCAGAGTGCAAGCAACGTGGTCTTCTCTGCAAACATCGACGAGGCAGTGGCAGTCTCATACTGTACAACGTGCAGGCCGAACACGAAGAGACGGTAGGTACTGTCTGTATCCAGAATACAGAGGGCGTGGCCGTGTATTCCCTTTGAACATGACTTAGGAAATGTTTCTTGAGGTATCCTTCAGTGCGAGACAACTGTCATCTCAGCTTATGCTTAACACAGACATTAGTTTTCTCAGAACTGCAGTATTCCATCAAAGGCGCAGCCGCCGTTCAAATAGAGAACGCAGCCATGTCTCCTCTAACTGCGGGATATGAAGTAAAGATGGAGCCAGTTCTTTTCGGGCGATTATGATCAACATGAAGTTTGTAACTAGAGCCCAGCAGGAAAAGAACCGGTTGTTTCCTGGTATTCCATCTAGAATAATTAGCAACACTGAGAGCCTTGTTCCGCTACTCTTCGGCAGTTTCTTTTGGTTTTTCAATAACCGGCCATCTAACTTACACATATATTCATTCTTGAGCGGTGCAAGACTTACTGTGGTATGTGTTTTTAACTCTGCGACTTGCCGTGAGCAGTTCTAGCTAACGCTATTGCTACTTAATCGCTTTTGAGGGGGAGTTATACTAGTTCTTTCTAGAAGGTGTGATCTAGGTTTACATGCCAGATTTGTAAGGTTTTCCTGTTTCTACACTTTTCTTGGCGACCTAGCGATCGACGGGTTATTGACTTGTCCCGATTCCAGGAATTCACTGTCGCTACGCAACCACTCGAAGCGGAGGAGCCAAAGAAGGAACGTGATATCGAACATCAACGTTAATATTCCACTCATCACTTGAACAAATCTTGCTAATAATCTCAGAAAATCAATCGATAAATCAGCACAATTTCGTAGTCTCAAGTTTTATGATTAAGTATAAATGTAGATTTCATACATGTAAACACATTCGGGTTCTTTTTTGTATAGAAGGATTTTCATGTAAATAAATCCGAATAGTTGTTGTACGATGCATGTGTTACTTTTCATTACCAAGCTGGCTCAACGCCAAGTGGTCGCTATTAGTGCACGGTCCCTAGATTGGATTCCAGGGCCAAGGCCCACCAGGCCTTCCATCCCTTCGGGGTCGGTTAATTGGTGCAAGACGTGTACAGTCATTTTCTGGTTGCAGTGCTCCCTTCAAACTAGAAGGATGTCGTCTGAAAGGGTTCTGTAGTTGCAGAATGAGCCACAATATACGGTAGTGATAGACGGGGAGTGAGTTGGAGCGCTGCCAACAAGTCCTTTTCCTTCAGTGATGCCATCCTGAGTCCACAGCAACTGGAGAAGAACGATGTCCTGGCTCTCTTCAATTCACCCCCCCTGCCTTCACCGCCCTGCGTTTGCAGGACTATAAACTCGTTGTGTTCGATTTTGCTTAGAGGGCAGTTGTGATAGTTCACATCGATTCGTTCTTATACTTATTTGTAGAACCTAGTTGGAAGTTTTGTTTATATTTGACAAAGAGACTTACTGGTTCACAAGGTGATGTGACGTGATATTCCACAGAACTAGCAAAACTTCAAAAGCCCCGCCCAAGCCACAGCTCCTGATTCACGTTTATTTCCATAGCTGCATTTAGTTTCACTTCCAAATTAAGCCAATGGAAGTCCTCCTTGTCGTAAACGCTTTGAGCTCCTCCACTTGAACAATGTCACTATGGATTCGATGTCCATCAGCCAATGACGTATCATAGGAAACGTGCTAGCCACGTTGATGGAAATTCGCCTAGGCGTAGACGCCAGGCTCGGTACTGATCAATGCCATGATACGAGCTGGAACAAGACGCAGCTGACGAGTCGCTTTCGCTCACTCGAAGAATGGCCAGCTGGGATGGCCAGACAGGGTACGATCGTTGTGTTTAACAACAGAATTATCGGACTTTTCTCTGATAAGGGAGGAGGGGGGGGGTCGTATTTGGTTCTTGAGTGTGGGGGGGGGGGGAGGTCGTATGTGCGTGTGAGGAATTGACTGCGTTTGAGAAAAATTTTCCCGGTTGGATTGATAAGTTTTTTGTCGTAGTGACTTTGCCTGTGTCATGTGCCACTACATACCTCCCGTCTCACCTTCTCACTCGACAGCTAAAAATGGTAGCGGAAAAGTGAGGAAAATTTCGGGGTATCAGAAGAATTGCAGGGATTGTCGTAAGGAGGATTTCTCCCGTTTCATACTGCCGATGTACCCTATTACTGCCTATTGCCCATATACCCTATCGCGATTAGTCGGTTACAAGACATCTGTCAACCGGGTGCTCTCTCGCTGTGAGGGGTTAAGAGGTATACTTCCTCTGGTATCCTTTGCTCTAGCATTGTATAGGAAGGAAGAGTACTAAAGCGAAGAAGAATGGGGAGGAAGGCTGCGCGATGAAAGACTCCTGGGAATCCGATGTCGTTCTCTTAACTTTGGGGCATAGGCAGCTTTCGCAAACCTTGCGATGCTTTCGAGTGAGAATGGTGGCACACTTTTACAGACTGGGCGACACTAGCCTTGTCGGCAAGGAGCGATCCCAGAGCTTTTTACAGGTGAGTCTTACAGATATTATTAGTCAGTTAAGGCGGAGTCCACGACTCGTATGAACTGTCTGTGCGAGATTCTGGATGGAAGGTTTCCTAAGTGAAGCATCCCTAAGAGTGCGTTCATACTTTGCGTCGGCGTTTTGAACGTCTGCCAGCGTTTTGAGCGACTAGAAAAGTAGTATTTGAGCGGGAAGATGAATAATATCGAATGACCGTTCAAACGCTGGCGCGGACTGCCTTAAAACGCCGGAAATCGATAACTATGTTTTCCCAGTCGCTCAGACGCTCAAAGTCGCTTAAGACGCTCAAACAGTGCCTAAAGTTGGACGACGACTTAAGGGACGCTGCTCGTTGTCGAACATTATCATTGAGCGTACACTTTTGGAATGTTTGAATCTATGACGAATCGCATCGAACGACAGGAAAGCTACAGAAGGCTTTTAGAATGAGCCGTACTGCGCCAAGTTTTGTGGAGGATATACCTAGCTGCTTCAGCAGTACGCCAAAGATTGTCGTCAATTCAGGAACATCTGTGATCTTTGCGCTCAATCATCTATGGTCTTTGTGCTTTGAGAGGATGTCCACAGCACACGTAGGCCCAATAGGGTGCCATATTCGCACTACAGCAGCCTGGCAGGTGCCACAGGGTGCCGCCGACCTGTCTATATAAGGCCTACTTATCCAGGTAATTATCTTCTGTGCAGTAATGCGCTTGACGTGAGTGTTCTTTGATTTCTGTTCTTATCCCAAAGTGTTAATGCTATTGTTTTCTTAGGCCTCTGCTGTTCATCCTAACCGTTTCTGCCGTGCTCTTCGTCAGTGATGCAGCCCTAATGAGGTGTCGGTGCCGTATGGCTTCCAAAACCACAACTACCACAGAAGCACCAGGTTAATCTCACCGATTCAGGCTTCCTAAACCGTTGAGATGTAGGACACTCTTTCAGAGGAACAATGGGATCCTCAGCGCGACGGGATGGTCAGCGCAGCTGTGGCCCCAAGCTCTCGCAAAAAATGCTGTTGCAGAGGTATTGTGCCATTTCCAACGGTTGCGAAGGGAAAACTGCTAATAGTGACCCAATGGCGATGAACTGATTTGCAGGAGATTCCCAACGAAGTGAGCGAACAACCAAAGCGGCAACTATCACCACCTCCAGGAGTGCTTCCAATGTTATTCGCAACAGCAGTACCAATCCCTCCGTTGATGACCACGACGACACCCAATGGGATCTGCCGTTAGATTCTCGCCCAATATCAGCTTGCCCAGATGGCTGGTTGCAGCTCAAGGACTCCTGCTACCACATGGAATCCAGGAAAATGGAGCGCGAAAGCGCCCAAAAGGCATGCGATGAAAAGGGTGCAACGTTATTCGTGGCTGACTCGGAGGAGGAATTTGTGAGTTTCTTTCAGATACTTTGTTTGGATAGCTGACTTGGAGTAATCTAAGTCTGATCGATTATTTATAGAAGGAGATTGCTAGCCTGTCACCATTGCACCAGCGCAGTTGGATCGGGCTCACACAGTATGATGGCACTAACTCACCGCTGTGGATAGGATCCGCTGGCATGGAGCCATCGAAAATGTTTGTACATTTGAGCTTATTGTCACATTACGTTACGAGAACGAATATATCTGCAGTGCCTGTCAAGGGGAAAGGAGGGAGCAGATGGTCAAGACAATCGTGATTTGCCACTCCGTCGCGCGCGGTCTTTTCGTAATTTGTGGTTAGTCTGTCGATTGGAGCATCTCATCTAGTCCACGACGTTGTTGACACTCATAGGTATTTTAGTTATAAGCTGTCTATCGTCGTCGTCGTCTCCGATACAGAATTATCATGATTTACGATCGCGACGAATTACGATCGTCTTGTCACATACCGTTAGGGAACCTGAGCAGTCGATGCTGGCGCCTGAGAGCGCGTTCAGACTTCGCGATCGCGCTACTGTGGGTGAAATTACACCGGGAGGGGGTCATGTTCGTTCATGTTCAACTCAACTCAACAAACAACAACAACAAAGTTCTGGGAAGGGAGTCGTACTGATATCACCATTTCTCACATCACGATGCTGTATCCTGCCTCCAATAGGCAGTTCCAAAAACGATATAAAAGTAGTTCGACCTTTTTTGATGTCTTTTATTCCGTGTTCATATTCGCAATACTGACGTTTGCAGAAACCGTCGAAAGGAAAGGTTGTGTATAGACCTGGAGGATGGCAGAACAAACAAAGCAAACACAATGTGACAAAAGTAAAGTGAATATCTGGAGAACTGGCAAAATCGGGGGAAGGGAGAGAAACAACATCACCCGCTGTTGAAAGTTCTGCGTGTCTTACTTTTGGAACAAGATGTTCAATACTCCGCTTGAACGTACTCAGATGCAAAATTCAGTATAATAATTAGCATATTGTATATTTAGTACTATTTTACATAGGAAATAATAAATAACTCAAAGATATTTCGAAACGTTCCTTAAAATTAGGAGGGCGTTATGTACACAAAGGAAGAAAGAAGGAAAAGGAAAAAAGAACAGGAACAATAAACATGAACGAACATGACCCCCTCCCGGTGTAATTTCACCCACAGTAGCGCGATCGCGCGATCCAGATCGCGCGATCGCGAAGTCTGAACGCGCTCTGATCGGGTCAAAGGCCCTTCTTTCGCGATTACCTGACAGGTGGGGCTTTTCCTTTGTCTCGGGCAGGTTCGTAACCGTTCAATTTATTTAGCCATCCCCACTCGAAATTGCATGACAAGGATCCCAGGCACTTGTCGCGACTTTCCAGTTGCAACCAGTTGCTCTCCCATACCGTGGGTAACAAAACGAAAAAGCGTTAAGTCGAATTTGCGCGAAAAGCGAAAGAGGCTTTCAGAATTGAGCTTGGACGCATTGAGGCAGTGAATGTTTCGAATCAACTTCTTGGTATGAAGTTAAGCTTTTGGAAAACTCGCTCTAAAGACCCAGCTTCTGTTCGCCGTTGATGATTTGCAATCGCGAACGGTGTTTTGACCGAACAACATAAGGCTGCGTTCATACTTCGCGTCGGCGTTTTGAGCGCACGACGGCATTTTCAGCGACTGCCAGCGACAAGCTCAAAACTTTCCGCGAAAACGCCAGCGTACTCGCAAAACGCTAGATTGCTTCGTATACTTTCTTAGTCGCTCAAAACGCTGACGCAAAGTATGAAAGAACCTCAATAACGTGAAATAAACTCCCGCGCATGAATATTTTCTATTTCAGCAGGTGGCTAACGTCCCCGTTTTCTTCGACGTCCAATGGCTGGTCGAAGGTGGCAACATGTGCGGCGTTCTACAACACTGAAAACTACTCGGACACAGCCTACGCTTATTTCTACCCGTGTTCCTCACTGTATCATTCAATTTGCGAACGAAACTTGACTTTGGCCAATTTGTAGGGTCGTATTTGAGGATAAATACTCTTGGTGATTGATGAATAAATCTTTTCGCTACTTTTGCAGTCAAGGTAATCATTACTGGAGCCCACAGGTTCTGGATCCCCGTACTATATTTTTGCTGATAAAACTAAGGTTGAATTACATAAAAGTGTAGGAATATTGCAAATCTTGGAATCTATTCAAAAGCAAGAGCAGTCCAATAAAAAACGTTTTGCCTCAAGAAGCTGGTGGATGGTGAGTTAGAATGAATTTATATTGCTGTTTATATAGACTGTATGTGAGGCTGTGCCATCTCTCGAGTGACGCCACTCATTTGAGCATTGGCAGAGATTTATTGACTTTATTGAAGTAGGGTTTCTCTGGCAGCAGGTGTGCAGCCTTGTTCGTTGGGGCGCGAAGGCCGGCCTTCACTAGGAAGGTACTGACCCGACCATCTCACCTGTACCGTCTGTGCCTCCTTTGATCATCCGCTCGAACGGCACCAGTAACGTGTCCATTAGTCCTTGCAACGTGCTAGAATTACCCAACGGATTCTCTGTGGTCTCGGAACATGATGAACTTCATGCCACTAAAATCAGAGCTCTTACGAAAAAGTCTGACCATCCACAGGAGATCGTCAAGTGTTCGCTTGACATTTCGAGTCGTCTTTAAAACGTATGACGTGCCCCGCCACCTGATCTTCGAAACGTTAACAAATGCGGCTGCGTTCTGATTTTCGATCGTCGGCGGAGCACGGATCCCTTCCTTCGCTTGCGTGAAGCGGGAAACTCCAACGATTACTCTTTCAAGGCAAAATGACGCTCACCCATGTTCATCATGCTTTGGTAGAAATCTCCTTTGGCTAGGAAAAATACATAATTCCGCTCTTG